TGCTGTGACCAAGCTGCTGGTCATTCCAGTCTCCTGCACGTGATGAGACGTGATCATCCAGAAATCTGAACCAGAGTGCAGCGAAGGTAGGCAGAGTCTTTGCTGCCCCCAGAGGGACTCCAGGGTGCTGCTCTCAGAGTTCACAATACTCTCTTCTCCCGCACAAACCACCCTGTAAGACTGAGGGCAACCCTCTGGGAATGAGAGAGCAGGCATTCCTCTACTCAGAAAGCAACACTGAGCACGTCATCACTTGGCCATGTCTCATTCTTCCGAGCTAGAGGCAGTGGTTTAAAACCCACTCTCTAAGCACAGGGCCCAGGAGAATAATGCACATGTATTATGAGAATGTAAAGCAAACCGTGAAATGTGACATTATTGCTGTGACCAAACTATGAAATTTCTCCTTCAGTTTATTACAATTAATAAACGGCTGTAAAAGGATTAAGGTATTTTGTAGGAAAAGTGCAGTAGATTAAAATCTTTCCCATAGATTTAAGATTGGGAACCTGTAATAAAATTGAGCCAGATATTTTTTCTGCAAACCCAAGGAATCCCTTGGAGAGTCCCCTACTAATACTGTGGGTGGCATTTTACTAACTTGGTCACTGGGTTCCACTACAAAGTCCTTCTCTTCAACCTTGGATGGCCTTCCTCTGCTTCTGGTTGATTTGTACTTGATGCCTCTCACACCCTCACAGCCCAAGTCTTTTCCTCTGTTACATGCCTTTTTCTCCCCACAGGAAATCCAGTCATCTCCTTCACTGGAACTGAAGGGAACTGACTAGAACCTTCTCAGTCCTGCCCTCCACTCCCACTGTGTCCATCCACATTTCCTCCCCAGCGTGTAATAGGTGTCTTTTCACACTGCGAAGGCTAACCCTTCCAACTGTACCCTTGATTCTTTTTCCTCTGCCTCCTTGGGTACCTTACCCCATCATAAAACCATCACCCCTTCCCCCCTCAGTCTCATCCTCTCTGCAGACAGGTGCACATACATCCTGGAAAGCCTCTCCGCAAGTCAGGGAGTTCTCGCCCTCCCTCCGTTTGTCACCAATATTCTTGAAAGGATTCTTCATTGATTTACTAAATATTCATTGAGCTCCTTCTACTTTGTGGCAAGCATTGTGTTAGATATTAGGGAGCTAGCAAAGAGTAAAGACATGGTTCCTCCCTCTAGTAAAGGAAATAAGAGCCCTTCCACCAAAGAAAAAGACAGTGAACTACCACTAATGCCAAGTGCTCTTAAGAAACAAGGATCTGAAATTGACATGAACAGAGGTTCCATGATAGATGAAGTGGGTAGAGAAGGCCTCTCTGATGTTGGGGTCTTTTGGAGAAGATCTGAAGGATGAGAAAGAACCTGGGAAAGAGTGGGGAGAAGAGCAATTCTGGCTGAGGGAATAGGATGTGCAGAGGCCCTGAGGCAGAAATACACTGGCCTGTTTGAGCATCTGAAAGGACACTGTGATTAAAGGGTAGTGAGCAAGGGGGAAATCAGGATGTTCTTGGGGAGGTAGGCAGAGACCTGATCATGTAGGCCATAGTTAGGAGCTTAGAATTTATTCTGAATTCAATAAGTAGCCATTGAAGGGTTTTTAGAAAACAACAAGAAAAGGATACCCCTTGCAGGTGTGTGGAGAAGGAATTGGAAAGAGGCAAGAGCAAAGACAGAGCAATTAAGAGGCTGCAGTAGCAGCCTGTTCTACTGTGGTGGCAGGGAAGACAGAGTGAAGGGCATGAGTATGCAATATCTTTGGGAGATAGAAACAATGGGTCTCGCTGACATATTCAGTAAGAGGGGTGAGGGAAGGAGCAATTAGGATGACTCTGAGGCTTCTGACATGAGCAACTGGGTAAATGGTGCTGCTCTGAATTAGGATGAAAGGGGAAACATTTGGGGAGTAATGGGTTGGAAAGAAACAAGAGTTCTTTTAAACATGCTAAGTTTAAATGACTGTGCAACATCCAAATAGAAAAAAAATCAAGTGCAGATTTGTGAACCTGGAGTTCAGAAGAGTGGTCTGGCCTGGAAGTATAAATTTGGTGTGTTCAGCGTTAACATAGTATTTAAATCCATGAGAGTATTTAAGATCATCTGGGAATGGAAGAGGAGGGTGTGGAAGAGAAAGGAAAGTTAGAGGAAAATATAATTTTAAAAAACAGAAAAAGACCCAGAAACAACCCTCAAGAATCCAAAATTCAAGGGTTGACTAAATTAGGGGGAGCCACGTAAGAGGAGCCACCAAAGATATAAAGGGAAAACCAAAGAAGTGAGGAGAGGAGAGGAGAGAGAGTCTAGGAAGGGGTGGTCAGCTGAATGGAATGCTTCTGAAAAGTCTGGCATCGTGGAGTTTACCTCCCTCTATTGTTTCTGCCTCTAAAAATGTTAACCCTCCTTCAAAGCCCAGGTAAGATGACGTGACCACAGCAACCACTTAGTTAAAAATCACTAGTCTATCTCTGTATCAATATCTTTTCTCAGTCCTCATTCTCCTTGTTATCTATGAGCCTGTGACATCAGGGATCACCTGGTCCTTTGTGAAACTCTTCTCCATTAAGTTTACATTTCTATTACTCACTTTTAGTTCTCTTGTTTTTTTTTAAAAAATTCTTTTTTGATTTTACTTTCCCTTAAATGTCTGTGTTTCCTGAAGTGTCTTTGGGCCCCTTCTTTGAATGCTTTGCAATCTCCTTTATTCACAGAACTTCACCCTGTGCCTGAATCCAAAACCCAAATCTCATGCCAACCCCAATAATCTCTCTCTCTCAAGACTCAAGCTTTCAATCTCAATTTCCTGCTCAACATTTCTAGATCAGCATCACACTGACATTTTTAAAACCCTTTCTTGCAAAACCAAACTCTTCACCTTTGCTCCAAAGCTTTCTCTTCCTCATTATTATATTTTTATTTGTGGTACAACCATCTTCCCCTTGAAATTGTCAAGCCCTTGTTCACTTAGTCTTCCCCTTCATGCCAGGCAGTCAGTAAATGTATTCCTATTGAACTTCCTAAACACATCTCTTCCTCCTCCACTCCCATAGAGTCCCACTGCCACTGTTCCAGTCCCCTTGCCCTTCATTCTGCCAGATCTTGCAGAACCGCATAGGCCCTGGAGAGGAGCTGAGACTGTTCTAAGGGACATGGGAAGCCTCTAGGCCAGCCGTGGGCAAACTACGGCCTGTTTGAAATGAATAAAACTAAAAAAAAAAAAAGACCGTATCCTTTTATGTAATGATGTTTACTTTGAATTTATATTAGTTCACACAAACACTCCATCCATGCTTTTGTTCCGGCCCTCCGGTCCAGTTTAAGAACCCACTGTGGCCCTCGAGTCAAAAAGTTTGCCCACCCCTGAATTAGCTCAAAGAAATTTGTATTGAGGAAAATATAGCTCTTAATAAGCTCTTAAGACATGTGTCTTAGAAGTGGTCAAAGTCATAGACCCAGATCCTATTGCCAGACGTAATTTAACTCTGATTATTCAGGAAAAGGACTGAAAGCTTATAGAAAATGTCTAGCAGAAGAAGAGTGATTTTTACAGACCCATCCAAGCAGCATTCAGTCTTCTTCAGTCCAAGGAGCTACTGGACATTGTAGCATCCCATGTTCATGGACATGGTAGGCTCATCCACAGTGTGACTCAGAGCAGTCATACCACAGAGAATAACCTTGTAATAAAAGCCCTGCCTTTTTATGGCAGAGTTGGGTCTTGAAGACGGGCCGGATCCGGCCCGTTTGAAATGAATAAAACTAAAAAAAAAAAAAAGACCGTATCCTTTTATGTAATGATGTTTACTTTGAATTTATATTAGTTCACACAAACACTCCATCCATGCTTTTGTTCCGGCCCTCCAGTCCAGTTTAAGAACCCATTGTGGCCCTCGAGTCAAAAAGTTTGCCCACCCCTGCTCTAGGCAGTTGACCATGGGAGAGACAAAGAAACTCCCTGATCTGGTTAATCTCCCCTTTCACTAATCCTCTTCAGACCTACCTGAACAACTGAACAACTTATGCTTTCCAGAACCTACCCTATTTCTTCTCATTACTGTGCAGCTGGTCACCCTCACCCAGATCACCCTCTTTATCATTTCTGCCTCTCAAAATATTAGTCCTGTCCTGGCTAGTGTGGCTTAGTTGATTGAATGTCATCCCATGCACCAAAATGTTGCTGGTTCGATTCCCAGTCAGGGCACATGCCCAGGTTTCAGGCTCGATCCCCAGTAGGGGATATGCAGAAGGAAGCCCATTGATATGTCTCTCTCACATCAATGTTTCTCTCTCTCTCCCTCTCCCTTCCTCTCTCTCTAAAACATACATATATGTTCTTTGAAGAAGGATATATATATATATATATCCTTCAAAGCCTAGGTTTAATGACATCTCCCAGTAAAGCCTCTTCAACCACCCAAGCTGGTAATCATCTGTTCTCTGAATTCCCATGGCAGATTAACTGTGCATCCATAATAATACCTGTCTTGCTTTTTTGTTTCAATGATTTTTGTGTGACATGTCTCCCCTCTTATGCCGTAAATATCTCAGGACAAGAACTATGTACCTCTTGTTTTTGTTCCACTACAAATCATAACACGTACCTTGCATGCACCAGACCTTTAGGAAATGTCTGCCAAGGTAATAAATGAACAGCCATAATTGACATAAATTATTGTTTTGTGTACTGAATCAGTCCTAAATCCTCGGTGCTATCATTTCTGTATCACTGATGGTTATCCACTCACTTAAATAACCTTTCTTTGAATGCACTTAGAAAAGATGGAAAACTGTGTTATAAAGTAGGAACAAGTATGTAGGTTATTCCCTATCTTAAACAAAGAGAAGTTCTGTTATGCGTCATGGAAAATTAAAGCACAGTAATAAAATGAGCCAACAAGACTTGTTGAATACTGATTTAGTGGAAACGTTGCTTTGCCTCCTGTTCATAGGTCCTGACTTTCCTCTCACGTACTTAAGCTGCACGTTCTATTTATTTTGTTTTTAGATTACATTGACAACGATTGGCTATGGAGACAAAACTCCCCTAACTTGGCTGGGAAGATTGCTTTCTGCAGGCTTTGCGCTCCTTGGCATTTCTTTCTTTGCACTTCCTGCCGTGAGTATCTTCGCAAAAATAAAGCAGTTTAAATTCGATCTTAGAGGTTTGTTAGTATGAGCTTTCACAAATTGATATGCCCAGGAACATATCTATATCATATACAAATATAATTTTTCTGATATAATGTTGAGTTTTCTACATATATCCATGTGGACAATGTATAAAATACAGTCTTCTCTTGGAGACGCTTAACCTGGGAGTTTTATACCAGCTAGGTCTTTATGAACAAATAACAATTCAGATAGCATCACCTCTCAGTCCACATGCTACTAATACATTTAGAAGATTTGTAAAGACCGAAAGATTTCTTTTTAAACCGATGGTTCCAATTTGGTTTATACTGTGTGCTACTGAAGAGGAGGATGTGCACAAGTGGGGTATTTACTTCTCCCAGTCCATTTGTGTGAAAATCATATGACCTTAAAGGGTTTTCATTATATCAGATGATTTATTCTTTGTGTCATCATCATTGATTTTTCATAATGAGCAGTTTCTGCATCTTATCAGAATGGAGAACACATTTATCTTCGCCCAAGTTTCTGATTATTTTCTCCTTAATGGATGAAGCTTGTCTTTCCGATCATTGTGTCTCCTCTTATTTCCTTAAAGGAAATTGGTCAAGATATTACAATCTGCCTCCATCCACAAGCTGTCACTTTTTTCATGTCACCCCTCATGGGGGGAACAGAGCCAACAAAAAGGAGTTTTGAAAGGAGTGGCAGCAGTCATGCTTAAGGAAAAAATAGCCCCAGTTTCACTTCAGACATGAGCTGACTCGTCACAGTCTCTGCCTAGCAGAGACCCAGGGCACCCTTCCAAGGGAAGCCAGGCGAGTGGGGATTTTCAACACCATGGCCTTGAGCTCATGGGCTCCTTCTGTGCCTGTGAACGAGTGCAGAGGGGCTTGTCCTTCCCATGGCCACTGCCAACTCCAGATCGCCCAGCTGGTTCTGCGCAGACCACACAGAATCACAGAGAAGAGACTGAAAGACCATGCAGAAGCTTGAGCAGGAGACCTCATTTTGAATTCTAGTTTTGTCAGGAACTACCTATGTGACTGTTCCAGTTCTCTAGGGCTGCTGTAAGAAAGCATCACAGACTGGGTGGTTTAATCAGCAGAAATGCATTGTCTCACAGTTCTGGAGGCTAGAAGTCCAGAATCAAGAAGATGACAGCATTGGTTCTTTTTGAGGGCCATGAGAGAAGAATGCTGGCCTCTTTCCTTGGTTTGTGGATAGCCATCTTCTCCCTGAGTCTTTACATTGTCTTTCTCTCTACATCAGTGTCCCAATCTTTTAAGAACTCCAGTCTTATTGAGTAAGGACCTACCCCAATGACCTCATTGTAACCTGATTACCTCTGAAAAGACCTTGTCTCCAAACAGGGTCAGCGTCTGAAGTAGTAGGGATTAGGATTCCAACATATGAATTTTGGAGGGAAGCCATTCCGCCCATAGCAACAACCTTGGGTACATTTATTCATCTATATAATGGAGAAAGAATTATTATACCCTGAGAAATTTTGTGAAGACCTATGTGATAATGTCAGTCCAGTGCTTGTCATAAAAAAAATTTCCTATATGCATCCAGATGTATGTTTCCTGTTGTGAAATGAAAAAAAAATCAAGGAGAGTAAAAACAGCATCTGACTTATTCAGAGTCAACTTACCTGTTTACCTCAACAGTTTAGAGCAGAGCAGCAATTCGCTCAATAATCAGATTTCCTACAGGAAAAACCTGTAAATAAAATGCATTCTTGGGCTTTTTCCCCAAAATAATGGCACAAAATGCCTGCTGCTTTTGTGTTTATACTTAACCTGAGGCCACATGTGTAACAACTCTGATCCAGTGAAAACCTACAAATAGGGAAGTAGGCAACTTCTGGGCTGTTAGAATCAACAACAGTGTATGTGCTGTCCTCATCAGCGAGCCTCTTAAGACCTACGCATGAACTTTTCTTAACTTAGAGGAAAACTTGATAGTTTCAAAATTCCTTGAAGATTATAAACAGCAAATGAAAAGGTAGGCTGATAGAACAAACAGGAAGAGATGGTGAAAGACTAACAAGGGAAAGAATAAAAAATCTGTAGGAAGCAAGCAGACGTAAGTGTTCCAAATGTGTAAAGACCAGGGCCCAATTAGTGTTAGGGTCACCACACCTCCAGGAGCTGGTTGCATCTGTCAGAGAGATAGCAGGTCCCCAACATGAAACTCTGAACTATGTCTCTCTGCTCAGTTCAAGATCAGAGACTAAATAATCATTCTTGGAAATGCTTCCCAATGAAGTGATTATAATTTTTATTTATGCCAATTAAATCAATATATGTTGGAAATATAAAAACTTGCTTGCACAGAACAGAACATTCCCTAACAATGCCAAGAAAAGTAAACTTTACCATGAATCTTTTTACTGCAACCTCACATCAGGTACAGAGTTCTTATATATTTTTTTAGTATGTTTTTATTGAATTTAGAAAGGAAAGAAGGGGAAGGAAGAGAGACATAGAAACATCAATGATGAGAAAGAAACATCAACATTGATCAGCTGTCTCCTGCACACCCCCTACTGAGGATCAAGCCCGAAACTGGGGCATGTGCTCTGACTGGAATCCAACCGTTGACTCCAACCGGTGACCTCTAATTCTCAGCCACTGAACCACACTAGCCAGGCTCTTATACATTTAATGAAAGACTATATTGTTCATATATACCTTTAAAAAAAACAAGGTGACTGGAATTGCCACTATGTTTGTGCACCCACTGGCCGCTGATGTGTTGTCTGAGATTTAGGATAGTGCATTGGCATTTTGCTATGAAAGTTAGAGGTGCATTATGGGCCACCACTGTTTGGGGTTTCTCCCACCCAGGAAACCTGAGGACAAAGAAAGAGAAGAGCCTTTTCCCATCTTCCCCTCAAAGCTGAAGGACTCTCCTGCACATCACAGAGGCATACAGGTCAGCCTCTCCAAGCTCCTCTGGGAGGTTACTTTCCCTGAGGCCCACTGCCTCCCGGGGCTAACAGGCTAAGGAGCTCGCAGGGGCAGCCCCAACTTCAGCATCACCCTGAGGAACAGGGCTTCCTACCCTTCAGGGCGTGCCCTTCCCTCCTTCAAGGAGTGGCTTTCAGTCTAGTCTGTTTACCATGTGTGGGGTACAAATTGGGCTCATTTAATCTGGAAGATAATAGGGATAAATATTTTAAATGTCTACCAAAACATCTTTTCTTGCCACTTAGTATATGTATCACCTCTTGGCATAATACTAAAACTCAAAACCTAAAAATGTAAGTTAGGTGATATGAGAAAATGAATTAAAACAAAACTCAATTTCTAAGAAGTTGTATTTGTTGGTGTCAATAGTTGAAGGGAAGGCACACAAATTACATATATATATGTAAGTTACATGTGAGTATACATAAACTTACATTAATATATATACATAATAGACTTTAACACACTTCCAGTTAGGTTCGCTATGTTGTATCCTCAGAGACACAGGAGAAGACTGGAATGGAGCCATCATGAGATGACCAGCAGACCTGGTTTAATAATAGTTGTAATATACAGTCTGGTGCAAGAGATGGGAACAAACGTTTACTATTAATGTTTCTAAGCAATACCAATAAGATTTTCAGCACATTTTAATTTTTTTGGCAGATGTTAAGTCTGTGATTTGTAGGGCCTGTCTTCATTTTTCAAGAAGGATTTAACTCTGGACCTCATACCCCCATACGAAGTGCTCCAGAATGGTAGCTATTGCTGTTAATGCAATATCTACAAAATCAGAATTAGGCTGCATATGAGTGGTTTATATATAATACATAGTACAAATATGTGCTATAAGCTCAAATGCTTCCTATTCTCCTACATGTTTATACTTCATGAAAATTGACATCAAAAGGAAAATAACTAGCCCTAACCGGTTTGGCTCAGTGGATAGAGCATCAACTTGTGGACTGAAGGGTTCCAGGTTCGATTCCGGTCAAGGGCATGTTGTGGGCACGTCCCCAGTAGGGGGTGTGCAGGAGGCAGCTGATCGATGTTTCTCTCGCATCAATGTTTCTAACTCTCTATCCCTCTCCCTTCCTCTCTGTAAAAAAAAAATCAATACAATATATATTTTCAAAAAAAGGAAAATAACTAAATCTTTCCTAAATGATTTTAAATAGCAGAAAAAAAATTAAAAGTTAGGATTAACTATAGTTGATCTGGATTTGAAAATGGAGGGCCATTTTTATAACCTCTAATGAAGGGAAATGTTTAAATCTAAAATCAAGGCTATACAGTCCCAGTTTTTATCAAGTTTAGTTTGTGCAATCACAAGCTATATGAGATGAAGATCTTAGCAAGAGACAGTCTCTGAAAAAGAAATGGAAAACAGAACCTATGACATAATTTCTAATTTTATGATAGTCATTTACCCTAGCTAATAATAGAGTTGATCATTGCTCATTAATAGTATTATATAACTATTTTAAACATGCAGTAGTCCCCCCTTTTCTGAGGTTCCACTTTCTGTGGTTTCAGTGACCAATGGTCAATCTTGATTGGAAAACATTAAATGGAAAATTCCAGAAATAAACAAGTCATAGTTTTAAATTGCATGCCGTTCTGAGTAGTGTAATGAAATCTCCTGTCCTCGTGCTCGGTCCCGCCTGGGACTTTGTCCAGCGTATCCATGCTGTAAACCCTATCCCACCCATTAGTCACTTAGTCATCTCTGTTATCAAACCAGTTATCAGACACAGAGAGAAAGACCACACTCACATAACTTAAATTACAGTGTACCGTTACGATTGTTTTATTTTATTACTTTGTTGTTAATCTCTTACTGTGCCTAATTTATAAATTCAACTTTATCGTAGGTATGTGTGAATAGAAAAAAAACAGTACATATAGGCTTCGGTACTATCTCTGGTTTTAGGCATCTACTGGGGGTCTTGGAACATATCCCCGTGAATAACTGGGGGGACCACTATAATCACATTACTTATTATCTGGTTATTGTCACAGATGTACTCAGAATTGTGGCTTCTCAAGATAAGAAGGAAGGTTCAAGGTTATCTAGAGTGCAAACATATCTTAGCCAAGTTTCATCCCGCTGAGACTTACCACCTCCTAAAGAAGAGAAACCCACCACCTCCCAGGCAGCCGATACCATCTTTGAGCTTCTTTGAAGAAATAAAGAAAAGAAAAACAACCATTCCTTATCTGTGGCGAATACTGACTTAGCGCTTGTCAGATACCCATCTCTCACCAAAGGGTTAGACTCCTTGAAGTTTAATAAAAAGCTAATAATTTATAGCTAGCACGTAACATCCACAGACTTGAAAGCAGTGATGCTCCATGTCCCATGGCAATAAACTGGAGACTTACAAAGCCCGGAGACTGGATTTAGCAAGCTCTGAAAGCCAGCACGGGGCTGACACACAGCATCTTGAGTCCACAGTGTTAGACCAAAGCAAAGTGAGAAGAGGGGAGCATTTCAAAGAGCCAGAACTTTGGCAGATGGAGATGATACACAAGCAAGCCAGGCCAAAAATTAACATAAACATAAGAGGGACATACTAATCTTACCAACCCCAAAATCTGAATAGGTGAGCCAAGACCAAAAGGTAAGGAATACCAAAACAGTGAGATTAAAACTCAGAGAAACAGGAATGTGCTTTGCAATAATAACCCATGTTCTTGTCTTTATTGTACAAACAGGCAAAATGGAAAACCTCCTATGTCTTGAAAACTGAGTGTTTGTTTGTCTCACCTGAAAAATTGTCCTCCCCTCCCCTTTCACTTTATTTTGGTAGGTGTAGACTTATAGCATTATGAGAACTAAACGGGGACAGATTTTAAACACTCTCCACACCCCCCCCCCATTTCACAAATAGAAAATTCAGTTATTTCATCGAAGTGCTAGAAACACTCCCATGTCCACAGCAGCAAGACTTTAACTCTTCCAAATTTCATATCCACTTCTATCCAAAAGCAGAATTCATGTCCTCCATATTCCACCACTGGGTAGGACCATTTACTCTAACTTAGGCAGAAAGAAATGTTAGAGAGGGCACACAAAAGACATTTTTTAATGGTGATTTTTATTTGTAGAGTGCCTCTACCATATCATAAGAGACAATAACTGGCAATGCCTGGTTGATTTACTAAAGAACGGAAGTTATTATATTCCTAGGCAGTCTTGCCCAACAACTTGCCATTGGCCACTGGTATTATAATAGAAGTGAATAGTGTTTGTGTTAATAAGTTTGTTTTAATATTTCTGGACAGGTTGCATACATACTGTGTCTTTTCTCAGCCTCTTTTTAGAAGTTGTGTTTTTGGGTGTGTGTTTTAATTTTTAACAGTGCTATTGGGAGAGAAAAGAACTTGAGTGTTATTTTTGTATTTTGTTCCAGGGCATTCTTGGCTCAGGTTTTGCATTAAAAGTACAAGAACAGCACCGCCAGAAACACTTTGAGAAAAGAAGGAACCCAGCTGCCAACCTCATTCAGGTAAATGTCAATGTAATAGGTAGATGGCAACATCTGTCTTCATAAGTGTTTGCTGGGTCATTTTCCAATCTCTGTGCTCCATTGCTTTCAAGCTACTGTTTTGGGGCGTGTGTGTGTGTGTGTGTGGTGTTTAATGAAGCTGGAACTTAATGTACAGTCTTAGATTTGAGCAAGTGCCCCCCATCCCAAACAGAAAAATAATATATATTTTCAGTAAATGGTCCATGTGTTGTTCGGGTTAATTAGCCGTGCCAGCAAGGCCATGTAGAGGTTAGCAGCTGTGTTGCTCCTGGAATAACCTAATATGTCTTATGAATTACTTGGTGACATATAATTGATCATTAAGTGATGGAGCAGAACATGTAATTGTTCCCTGCATTACACGTACTTTCTGCAGCAGAACGGATGCCACTGATCTGCAGAACAATGTATTTGTTTAGAATGTCAAGGTTTAGTACCTGTGGGATCATTTTTAATGCCGTCTAGAGCAATTACTTGAAATAGTTATTTTTAAGAGCTGGTGGGATTATGGAATACATAAGTGTTTGAGAATGTGAAAATCATTAGCATATTATTTGAAAGCTAACTCATAACAATATATAGTTTAACTTTTTGTGTGTATGTGTGTGTGTATAACTCAGGATTTGCTTCAGTACTAAAAGAAACCCTCATCCTTTGCCATCCATATCTTTTGGGCATAGCACCATCCTAGAACCAAGTTGTTTAAGAATCACAAAATATACTTTTTATAGATCCACAAGATGGATTTGGTATTGAATTATGGACACAATGATTATACAGTCTAGTTTCCTCCCTCCTTGCCAGCCAGTGGGAGGTCCAGAACTCCTAACTAAGGGGTTTGGGCTGGTGACCTGAGGTGCTAGGAGACTTGTCTTCATGCTGGAGTAACATGCACATTGTTTTCATTTAGATTGTAGGTTTAAGTGGGTGGGTTGCGGGATGGGGGAACCATTACACGACCCTACCCTTAGCCTTTCCCTGTGGCCATGATATGAAGTACCTCCAACAGAAATGGACCAAGAGGAAAAAGTGGGTGAGCGTGGCTCAGTTATATTATGAAAGAGATCTGTTTTGTATCTGATGATTAAATGAGGATATTAGTTTTTAAATCAAGCTATTCTGCAACTATTGACAAGGAAATTGGCCATTGGGCATGACTCCTAATATGAACCACTGAGAGTCTCTATCTTTTTAAAAATGTCTAGGTTTTAAAAGAGCACTAAAGATAAAGTAAGCTTTGTTTGCTTGAAGGAAAAAATCCCTAAGTGGTAGGAGTTTAAGATCTAAATCCAAATGATGAAAGAGGTGTCACAGACTCTAGTGTACGCACAGCTGCCCCCAGCACAGATACCCTTCCATCATTTGATTCTTCTTAACTAGTTGTGAAGGCATTTCCATACTTCAAAAGAACTTTTCTCCTTACTGTTTTTATCTTTTAATTATCCTTGCATCTATTTCTTATTTATTAATTTCAGAACAATGTTTTCCAATCTGTGAATATAGAAGTTATTTCATAGATTCCTTGCATCCATCCAGATAACAAGCCCTAGCTATGTATGGAACCAATGATATATCTTACACATATCTAGACTGCTTTCTCATGAATACAGTTCAAATTTATTTAAAACCCTTATAAGTTATTTATTAGCTTTCTATTGTATATTTTATCAATCAACACATACTCAAAATACAGCCACTTCTGTGTATAGATCTTTGATACTTCTGGATGTTAAAAAGGGGCTCTATATCAAAAAAATCTTACAATATTAACTATTCTGTTAGAAAGTCAGCCCTCTGAGGAATTTTTATGCATGTATTCCTTGTGATGATATAGAGCTGTGCTGCCCAGTGCAGTGACCACTAGCTGTATGTGGCTATTTAAGTTTAGAAAGTCAATTCCTCAGTGACACTAGCCACATTCCAAGTGTTCGATAACCATATGTGGCTATTGGCCATCATATTGCACAAGGCAGATATCAAGACTAATAGGAGAACCTTTCCTAATCTACTTATCATTATCAACTACTAAATTGTGCAAAAACAATTTCCAACTGAACTTGAAAATAGACTACCACTCCTGCAGCAAATCATTGGACCAAAGACATTTATATCTCCACAGTCATAGCAAGGCAAGGCCTTCCTCTTACGTGGAGGAGAGGCTGACTGAACAGTTTTGCCTGGAGAGCTAAAAGTATATTTTATGGAATTCTGTTATGTAAACATTGTGATCAATAATTGAACTTGTACAAATGTTGGGTAGCAATAGAGTGAAACCACTAATATTTCTTTTACTTAAAACTTTAGCTCATGTGTTGTTCTGAACAACAACAAAAAAAAGACTGTAGCCCTAGCTATAGAGTGTTACCCCGTGGACTGAAGGGTCCCGGGTTCAATTTTGGTCAAGGGCATGTACCTTGGTTGCAGGCTCTATTCCCGGCCCTGGGTGTATACAGGAGGCAACAAATCTACGTGTCTCTCTCACATCAATATCCCTCTCCCTCTCCCTCTCCTTCTCCCTCTCTTCCTCTCCTTCTTCCTCTCTTCCTCTCCCTTCCACTCTCTCCAAAAACCAATGGAAAAGTATCCTTAAGTGAGGATAAATGAAAGGCTTAAGCCTTCATCAGTGTGGCTTGGTTGGTTGGAAAATTGTCCCATGCACCAAAGGATCGAGGGTTTGATTCCCCATCAGGACACACACCTGAGTTGCAGGTTCAATCCCCAATCGGGGGCATGTGTGGGAGACAATGGATCAATGTTTCTCTCTCACATTGATCTCTCTCTCTCTCTCTCTCTCTCTCTCCCTCCCTCCCTCCCTCCCTTCAATCTCTATCTCTTCTTCCCCCCTCCCTCTCAATCTCAATCTCTCCCTCCTCCCCCTCCGCCCTCTCCCTTTCTCTCTTTCTAGAATCAATGGAAATATATCCTCAGGTGAGGATTAAAAGGGAAAGGGGAAAAAAAAGACTTGAAACACTCAAGAACACTTTAAAATCTAATCATAGTTTCAGTAATCAAAGTAGGATCTACTAATTTAAAAAGCAATTGTTTCCCCATCCAAATGCTATTAATTTATTTATTAGCCATAAGAATAATAATATAATTAAATGTATTCACTGTTCTTTCTTGATGGCCCTTAGCCAGACAGAATTCAGGGCTTTAAACCTTGGTTATATATATTAGAAATTTATTTTCAAGGATGCACTAGATTGAAAAGCAAGCATCATTTGCTGATCCATTTATTTTCTTACCCAATAAACCTGCCTTGGTTTGCTGAACACACAAGGCATCAAGCTCAAGAGCAATCTCATTAGTGTTAAGCCAGAGCAACTATCTTTCTAAAAGGGCACTGAAATGCTTAAATTGCCTTATCATTTGGTTGGCGAGGCAACTAAATTAACCAGCATTTCCGGGTTTTAGGGAAAAGTTTAAAAACCACCCCAGCAGCTTGCAGCAAATTTAGCTGTGTCAATATCTTTGCATGATTCATTTAAATTAACTTTTTATTTCAAATGTAGCAGTCTGGGAAAAGAAATCAGCTCTCACCAACATTTTGAATACCTGCCCAAATGTCACAACTTTTAATAATAACCTAAGACTTGTGATGTGCTTTTTAGTTGGCAGAATGTTTCTATACATTAAGTCACTTGATCCTAAGGGCAAGCCTAGGAAGAGCTAGGACTCAAATCCCTGGTGTCTGAACTTGAATCCATTACTCCTTTCAAAGAGCAGCAGTTGCATCATCACATATGTATTTACTACTGACCCAGTGCATGGATCTGTACACATTGAAAGAAAATTCATTAGAAGGTGGCTGGCGGGGCAGGACTGGACGAGATGGGCCAGACATGCCTTGGAGTCAACCTTCCACGGTCCCTCCCCAGTGTCTGCACAGTGAGCGGGGTCCCTCTGGCAGGTGGGGTCCCTTGGCCTGGCCTGCGGGGATCGGGCCGAAACTGGCTCTTTGACATCCCCCAAGGGGTCCCAGAATGCAAGACGGCACTCTGCAAAGTTGCTGTGGTACATTCCCCTTGTGGAATGCAAACACAAGTGTGCAGTAAACCAGATTCAGGGCCAATAGTGCCCCAGCAATGATATAACCCATGGCCAAAGGTGGAATTGCACGGCCCTGTGAGGAACTGGGCTCCCTCCTCTCTGGTTTCAGGGTGCGTCACCCAAGAACCTCCGCTGCCAAGTCACTGCAGCTCGGCAGCTCCTGCATTGAGTGTCTTCCCCCTGGTGGTCAGTGCATGTCATAGCGACCAGTCAGACAGTCAGACATTTAGCATATTAGCCTTTTATATATATAGGTTATGGAAGCCTTGAGATTAGCATTCAAAGAACTATGTTACAGGTTCACTTCTGGAGAGATTAGGCCAGTTCAGGTGAAACCAAGATGCTTTAATGGAAACAGAAATGGGGAAATTAAGTGAAAGTTTATGAAATAATGCTGAATGATGGGCTCCCTCTCCCTCTCCCTCTCCTTCTCCCTCTCTTCCTCTCCTTCTTCCTCTCTTCCTCTCCCTTCCACTCTCTCCAAAAACCAATGGAAAAGTATCCTTGAGTGAGGATAAATGAAAGGCTTAAGCCTTCATCAGTGTGGCTTGGTTGGTTGGAAAATTGTCCCATGCACCAAAGGATCGAGGGTTTGATTCCCCATCAGGACACACACCTGAGTTGCAGGTTCAATCCCCAATCGGGGGCATGTGTGGGAGACAATGGATCAATGTTTCTCTCTCACATTGATCTCTCTCTCTCTCTCTCTCTCTCTCTCCCTCCCTCCCTCCCTCCCTTCAATCTCTATCTCTTCTTCCCCCCTCCCTCTCAATCTCAATCTCTCCCTCCTCCCCCTCCGCCCTCTCCCTTTCTCTCTTTCTAGAATCAATGGAAATATATCCTCAGGTGAGGATTAAAAGGGAAAGGGGAAAAAAAAGACTTGAAACACTCAAGAACACTTTAAAATCTAATCATAGTTTCAGTAATCA